TGTAGAACCAAAGAAGACAGCCAACATGAAAAAGAAAGAGGTGCCCGATGTAGTGCCCGAGAAAACTCCAGTGGTTGAGTTGAGGGATGAGGCGCCTGAGAAGACTCCAGTGGCTGAGTTGAGGGATGAGGTTGAGAAACTGAAAGAACAGATACTGAAAGCAAGTGAATCATCGTCAAAGATTCCAGAGTCTGGTCCGAAAGAGATGATAGAAAAACTCAAAAGAGAGCTCGACTACGAATATACAGAGGCTGCCAAATTCTTGGGTTTTTATGAAAAAATTGTAACACTAAGAGAAGAATTTGCTAAGGTGCAGAACTCAAATGACCAGTCCAATCAACGTGCGTTCATGGAAAAGCTTGACATGCTGAATGATGAGTTCAACCAAAAGCTTTCTGCTGCTCCTAATTTTGAGGACATAAAATATAAGCGTGATATGATAAAAGAAATTTCCGAAGCCCACAATCTCTTAGCAAAGAGTAACAAACAAGCTGACTTGAAGCAGGAGATTGATAAGACATACAAAGAAATTGTTAGCCGTGCTGATTTGAAGAAGAAGATTGAAGCTTTAAAGGCTGATATCAAGAGAAGTGGGGTGTCAACACTAGCAGAGTTAGACCAAGGTTTGAAGGATAAACTTGCTCAATTGAAAAGTGAGATAAAATCTGAATTTGCAGCTGCTCTTGAACCCTCAGGTTTGCATGTCGTTTCACCTTCGTTCCTAGATGCCAGGGTAAAAATAGATAGCTTTAACAGTGAAATTGGTCATGTTATGGAAGATGTTGTGAATTCGACTGATTTGAAAAACAAGATTGAGTTGTTGAAAATTGAGGTAGCTAAGGCAGGTAAGACACCGGATGAAGAGTCAAAAGCCAAGATTGAGGCTCTGAAGCAGGAAATAAAGCAGAGCATGGCAGAGGCTATGAATTTCTCTGAATTAAAAGAGAAGCATGAGAAGCTGAAATCCGAGGTTTCAGAATCCAACAAAATGTCTGGAGGTTCAGATGGGAATTTGCTTAAAGGGGATGGTCAATATGATAAATTGATGCCAGACGGTTCAAATATTGAAGTTAATTTTGAACCAAACCGTAGCTTTGCCTGATATCTCACTTGGCACCAATTCCGATCAGTTGCTGTGGTGTTGTGTGAAGACAACCAACTTGAAGGATGAATCTGCTGAAACTACATCAGCATGCGAAATATCTCTACTCCTTTTCAAACTGCGGTTCCTTGTCAACTTCTACTGTTGTCTTCTTAATTAGTCATTGAGGTTTTCCTTTTCTGGGTTAGGAACACTATGCCTGTTGCTTGATTATGAGTTTATTCGTAGTGGTATTTATTTCAAGGTTTTGTCAGGAAACTTTTATATTCTGGTTGGCTCTTTATAGCAGCATTGCATTGTATTACATACAGAATATTGGCCGAAAGGAAACGCAAAATAAATAGTATGCTTCAAGAGTACGATAATTCTACTTTGCAGGAACTCAGATTTTAACTAATCCCATTAATCAGCTTTAATTCTTTTTTCTTTTTTTTTTTAATTATCATTTTGCTTGTTTGTATTGTACAGCATTTGTTCTCTGCTCATTCATATATCACAATTTTATACAGATGTGTCCTTACATTTAGCTTAAGCTTTTTATGGCATGCCTTTCTTAGATAAATAATCATCTCTTTGACATTTAGCTTAAGCTTTTTATGGCATGCCTTTCTTAGATAAATAATCATCTCTCAAGGAGATTGAACAATCAAGCAAGACTGAAGCAACCTTAAATTTTCCCAAAAGAGGTACCTACAATTCAACAGGGGATTAGTCACTGTATTCGACGGTGAAAACTCTAGGTACACACACACAAAAAAAAAAAAAAAAAAGCAAGACCTGATATTTTATACCACCGGTGTTTGACAAGAATGGATTTTCATTCTTGAATACTTCTTTCATCACATTCCAATTGCAGTTAAGTTACACAAACTGTTGAAATGGCTTCTGGTAGTGCCAATGCTCAGAATGCATGTTTGGCATATTTTGTCCACAGGATACCATGTATGTAACTACATTTTCACTTGAACAATTAGTGGTCACAACAAACTGGAGAAGACAACAACAGATCATGAGTAGGGTGGTAGACAATCTTGCCACTGAGGACGAACATGCTTTTCTAATCTTTTTTGGGGTAACGAGGGAAACCCGCAACCACTACCTCTTTTCCGATCTTATATCATGGCATCTCAATGCCAGACAGACAGACATGCCACCTCAACTCAAGTCCTCAACTAAGCCTGAAAGGCTAGAACCCAGTTTAGAATATAACTTGTAATTTGGGGACAAGATTATTTAGGCTGAGAATGTATCACTTCCCTAATGTGGTATATCAGTTCCATTTGTGGCCAATGACATATGTTAAACACAAGTGAAATTTTACAATGCATTTTTGAATTTGTTTTCTGCACATTATTATATGCCTCAAATGTCTGGGGTTCATGTTTCTACCAAAGCAATGTGAATATGTGATCACCATTGGGGGATATGATTAACCTAAACCAAAACAAAATATGCCCCATCAACTTCTACTCACAAAATGATTTACCAATTACCGGTATACCCCATTAGCCAAAAACAAATCTGTGATGAGATCAAAGGAATGCAGTTGATTGTTGAATACTTGAAAGATGAATTTCAAGAAAAAAGAAGGGTAGTAATCATGATCATCAAATCCAAACAACTTCATAGAAAGGAATCCAAGTATGAAAACTAGAACCCAAAGCAAAGAGAAATATTCCACTTTTTTTTTTTACAACTATAGATTGAACAAAAAACAAGAAACCCAAGCAGAAGGGGATGATCAATAGGCCTGCAAAACAGGCCTCTTACCAAGCCTCTTAATCTCCCTATCCATCTGACCAGTGAGCATCAATCCAAACATCTTGAAATCACACAAAAGAGACCAAAACGGGTGCCCAAAAGTTGAAGGCACATTCTTCTCAACAAAGAAATGGCTGTACCAGGCTAAGCCATACCCAAACAGAGGCACAAAAATCACACACCACCAATTAAACAACACAGAGTATATCAACCACATGATACTACAAAGGGTGCCTGCGAAATGCCAGCGCCTTGTTGCTGCTTTCGAGTGTTGGTTCATGTACACCGGCCAAAACTCCTCCAAGCTTCTGAAATTCATAGCTCCTAAACCAAAACCCAGATCGAGAAAACCCAGAATTCCTGATAAAAGATCTGATCTTTGTACCAATCAACAACAAATTGTAGAAATCGCCCTTATCCAAATAACAAGATCAGTACTGGGTTTTCACATGTTCATAGATCGAAATTGGATTTTGAACAAAACCCACAATAGGACTTGGGCGGTTGACTAGCAAACTCGATACAAACAGGTAAAAGAGAATCTATTTCCCAAACAGATTTGTTAGGGAAACGTAGTTTTGTTGGGGAAATAGTTGCTCTCAGAAATCTCAATTTTCTTGATTGTTGATAGGAAGAAGAAAAGGGACTCCGCGGGTTAGAATTTTGGTTGCGGGTTTCGTCTGGGATGGTATCAGTAGCAGTAGCGTGATTGTTTTTATCATTTCTTTGTTTCTACTTTCTAGAACAGATGTGTGTGAACTTGTGATTGAAAGAGCTCTCTGGTGGCAGAAACATCAGTTTATTGGCCCATAGTTTCTTGTGCTCGTTTGTATAATTAAATTTCACATTTAGGTCTTCACTATTAATATTTTCAATTAAGTGTATGACTTTGTAATTTATATCATATTTGGGTCCTACTGTTAAATTTATTAACCAACTATTGCTTGAATTTCAACAAGAAAACAAAAATTTCAGCAATTATTTATCTGAAAATACTCTTTTAATTAGAACATATTACTTTTCTGTTGAGATTTCAGAATTAATTGGATGAAAACTTGGTCAAAAAATTAGACGGTAGCACTAAATGTGATACAAATTACATAGTCGTGTATCTAATTTGAAAAAATTAATAATTAAGAATCAAATATAGTACAAATTTAATAGTCATGTACCTAATTTGAAAATATTAATAGTCAAGGACTAAATTTGATATATGTACAATACTTTTTGTTTGTATTTTTTTTTGTTTGTATCTTAATATGTTATTTTTTCCTTTTTTGTCCAGTAGTTTAGAAGATTTAAGAAAATTTTGTATTTTTAGTTCATATAAAGTTACATTTTTATTCCTCTTTTTGTTTTTTGTTTTTTGTTTTTTGTTTTTTTTTTGTTTTAATTTATTTTTAATTATTATAAAAATTGAGACAAAAATGTAAGTTAATTTGAAACTTGATATCTGTTGGGGTTATGGTGCACCAATTAGTATATTATATACATACAATTAATACATTATGTACTTTTAGTTATAGATTATATACATTTAGTTATAATTAGACATACATAATATACTAATTAAAAATACATAATATATTAATTTATAATAAGAGAAGGGGATACCCACATATACAACCTATTTAGGGATGGCAACGGGGTGGGGCGGGGGCGGGGAGCATACTCCCCGTCCCTGTCCCTGGCGGGGAATTGAAAAATTTTCTTGTCCCTGGCGGGGAATTGAAAAAATCCTCTGTTTCTGTCCCCGCGGGAAATTTGGCGGGGACGGGAAATTTCCATTCCCGATCAACCTATAGTCAAAGTCTCAGATTAATACAATTTTTAAAAACTAGTATTTCACCTGTGCGATGCATAGACATAAATTTGGAAATATTGCATTTATGTTAATAAATTGAAAGTAATCTTATTTATTATTATAGTGGCTATATGCCATATTTTTTGAAATTGGCAGCATTTCTAAATTTAAAAAAACTATTACATATATACAAAACAATAATAACATTATGATATGACATTGAATATCGGTGTACACTTCATTTTCTGTAGTGTTCAAACCCACATTAGAGTCTCCACATATTAAGATTTTCAGCCCATCTGGATTACTAACCCGAGATGCTGCTACATATAACTATCCATGGTTAAACACGGGTTTCTTTAATAGTAGTCCGACATTAGATAAAGTTTGTCCTTGACTCTTGTTTATTGTCATAGCATATGACAACATTATTGGAAATTGCTTTCTCTGAAATTTAAACGGTAGTCTTAGGTCAGAAGGAGTTAATCCCAATCGTGGTATTAGTACCCTGGTGCCTACATTGTTGCCACATAGAATTTGAGCTTCAATCACATGGTTTCCTAATTGTGTAATGATCAACCTTGTACCATTGCACAATCCCAAGGAGTGGTCTATATTTCTGAGCAGCATAATTAGCGATCCAAACTTTAATGTTAAAGAATAGTTTGGAACACCGGAGCATCTCAAACTGTTAAGGAACTCTGTAGTGTGAACCTCCGATAACATATCAGCATTTGTATCTGACTTGCAAACCGAATCACAACTCAAATATGTCTTGGAAGTTGCCTCATTCATACTGTTCATGTATTCATTCACCTTGTCCACAACATCTAATGTTGGAGCTAATATAGCTCGAGACTCCAAATGTTTATGATCTAGTTGACCCTGACCGTACAAAGGAAATGTGCTTTGGACAATTTTTGCTATGGGGTCAACTTCATTTCTTAGAACAAAATTATCTGGAATCCTTATATTGAAGATACCATTCTTTTCTTCTCCTAAATTTCCATCTCCTAGATCAGCAATCCATTTTGCAAAACTGTCTAACTTTTCAACTTCTTCTGCACTTGAATACCACGCAACCTCAGATTCTTTGTTAAGCGTAGTACTTCGCAATTACTCCACAAGTATGATGAGGTTATACTTGCTTGTACTATATCTTGTCTACTGCCTTTTCGTATAACTGGTAGTATTTGTATAAAATCACCTCCAAGTACAACTGTTTTTCCACCAAAAAACATTTCTAAGCTTTTTGGATTGGTGAATCGCAATGTCTCTCATCGTCCGATCTAGTGCTTCAAAACAATGCTTGTGCATCATCGGAGCTTCATCCCCTATGATTAACCTAGCTTTTATAATCAATTCAGCAAGTGGACTACCTTGGCTAATGTTGCAAGTTGCGTTTTCATTCACTGCAATGGGGATAGGAAACCTTGAGTGTGCAGTCCTTCCACCCGGTAAAAGTAGTGAGGCTATACCGCTTGATGTTACATTCAAAACAACTTCTCTCTTTGACCTTAAAGTAGCCGACAGTGTCCTCCATAAAAATGTATTGCCAGTTCCACCATATCCATAAACAAAGAACAAACCACCTTTATTAGATTCAACATCCACCATCACTTTGTTGTATATGAGTAATTGTTCATCAGTTAGTTTAGAAAACAGTGATTCATGTTCTAGCTTTAACGCTTCTTTGTCGTACGCCAATTTTTCGTATAACAACCGATTACCGAAATAGTATTCATGACTTCCCACTGGCATCGACATTGGTGGATAATCACTTAGAGACCAGTTCCAAGTATTCAACAACTTCTCCACTTCCATGAGTGCCCCATTTTCTTCTGTTCGTCATTGAGCATCAAATCTATATAATTTATAAACAAATTAGTTTAATATATAAATGAAAAAAAGTACATTTAAGTAAGTGTTTTGAAGAAGAATTGTTTACCTGGATTACTTGTATTTATTTTAGCATTGAACTCAACATCATCAGCTAGGTATTTCCAAACAATATCCCATACTTTTTCTGGTTTTGCCATTGAATTTGATGTCAATAAAGTTACAAACAATTTACGTAAAGAATGTGCTGAGGACCATATCGCTGCTTCACTGATCGCGTCAACATACTCTTTATCATCCTCGATTAAACCATGTGCATAACAGGCATCTCTAAATGAAGTATATTGCACCCCCTCAAAATATTTAATTTCACCAAAGGATCTTGGTCCACGCACAATATTTAGTAAACATCTAAGATAGAAGATTTCTCCGCTATTTGGCGGAACATAAAAAATACGACCAATTGCAAACTTCCTTTGCCTTGGATGCCACTCTCTCTTATCTTTTTTCCATACAAATTTTGTTGGCATTTCAGCGTAAGTCAAATTTCTTGCCTCGCTGTATTTGCTGTTAGCATCAAACCATGCAGTGAACATACTTTGTCACACAGTTGAACGGTTAACAACATCATTGACAACATCATCATCATTAAATATGATTGATTGCTCATTTGGTAGATGAAAGCTCAAGCGCTCTACCGATGGATCCCTCATCTGTATATCAATGGCGAACATCCTCCATGCTGCCTCACAGGGTGAAATATACCTACAATCATAATACATTTTGATCTCATCGATTACCTTTCCAGTAGCTTCATCAGCCACAGTGCCACACTGTTATAGAATTCAGCAGTAACACAATCATTCCCCTTGTTCACATACTTAAATAAGTACTTAATTGATCTGGATTGATTGCACCACTCCACATTTATATGAGCCCTATACTTCACCAATAAATGTCTGTTGTGTGGAACGACATAGCTGCTATCTAGATCAATACCATTTTTCTTTATGGTCCTACCGTTGTCACTCCTACGGTACACAGGATAGCCCTCTTCATCCATTGTTGATTTCTCCACATATTTTTTTTGGATAGTATTTGGAGCATCTACCATTAACCATGCATGGTGAATTCTTCCTACACGTACCACACGGTCCGTGCATCATAAATTCTTCTACTGCTTTGTGATACTCTGGATCGCACAACTCACTTGGTATATCTGCTGAAGTGAATTTGTCTAAATTTGTTGCAGCAACAGACCCATGATGATTTGCCAGAAACAACAATATGTGTGCATGCGGTAAACCTCTTTTCTGAAATTCAATGGTATAAATCACTACAAAAAAAAAAAATCTTTAATAAATTTAGTATTTTGGAATATAGATCAAAGTACTTGCTAATAAACAAATAATTATTAAACCTTTTAACATATAAAATATTTACATGCTAGAACAGAACCAAAGATGTTTTCTTTACGAATCTCCTTAGTTAGAGCATTTAACTTCATCTTAAAAACAAGACATATTATATCTGGCCGATCTTCGACCTTTAATCTCCTTTCTTCCAAAAACCATACAATTTCAGGCCATTTTGGGTTACATGTGAATGTAATAAACAGATTTGGATATCCAATACATTGGCATATTGCCATCGCATCCTGGTAATTTTGCACCATATATCTTGCACCACCTGTAAAAGTTGAAGGCAAAATAATTCTACAGCCTTGAGCAGATGGATCAAGTTCACCACGGGCCAGAGCATCTGTCAAGCATTTATAAGACTCACATCTCAATGATCTTTGGTGGGTCCTAACATATACTAAACATCCCGATTCAATCATAGTATATGCATCTACCAGGAATTGTTGTAACAACCTTCTTGCGAACAACAATATTGACATCTCATTTTTCCTATCTTGAATATAATAGGAGAAGTATTCTCTAGGACTAATCCTAATACGACCAGGTCGGCTTTGTTGTTCAACACCTGAGAATTGAATGTCCTCTCTATATCCATCTTCACCAAATGAGAATAACAATGGGTACTGTAGTGGTAGATAAACTGGGTTTAATTCACTAATCCTTTTAAAAATACCAGATCTTGATTCCACCAAGATATCACGTTCTCCCATATTTGGATCTAAGTCTCCCACTATCAAAGCCAGAACTTCACTAACTTGTGGTAAATTATATGTTCGGGCATCCTTATTCCTCTTTCCTATTAGTTTGATCTTAATCTTTGCCATTGGATTTGTTTCAATCTCTATTCTTGCCATGCGAAAACTTTTTACTAAGACATTGTTTTGATTTAATGCGTCTTTTATGTCTTGTACTATATCCGCATGTAGTTTATTGTGCACATCATCTTCTCTGTATATTGATCACAAAATATATTTAATTAGCATATTGCAGTAAAAACTAATAAATGCAATTTATATATAATGTAATTGACGTACCTTATTGCATTGATGCGATTTTGGATTTCGTTTTGAGTATCATAAATGTACAATTGAGCAAACTTCGGTCTAGAGCCAAATTCTGGCATTAGGCTTCCCAAAAGGTGAAAATTCTGACTGTGTAAGCGGAAAACGGGTGGTGCAGTACCATTATTTAAAGTCCTATCAATTTTCCCACCCATTGAAGTGAAGCAAAACATATTGTTGTAGGACCTAATATTTTGTAAAAAATGACAACTCTTGTTGTCATTCTTAAAAAAACAAATCAAATATAGCAGCAGGCAGAGTTGGTTTAGTAGGCAACTTTATTTTCCCATGAGTACAACAAAGCGAATACTTTGGTCTTGAAGTTCCCAAAATTTGGTTGATCCTTTCTTCCATCCAAAACACCGCACCACAATGGTCACATGAATATATTGGATCACCAAAATCTAAATATGTACCTATATAAATTATTGCGAATTTTAGTTTTTGTTTAATTGAATATACACAATCAAGCAATCAAACAACATATATATTTAATTCCAAAAATTTTAAAATAATATACTAACCATTCTGCAAAGATGTAACAGAAGTTGATCCTCTAGTGACAGTGTCAAACTCAAGCATTAACAACCGATTCAACCGTACATTGCCTTGAGTTAATGTTGGATTAACAACACATGAACCTAAAATGTGTGAAATAGAAAAAATTAAAAAACTAATATGAATGACATGAATGAGAAAAATCATTAAAAACTCCAATTATTGAGTTTTATGAAATTACCGTTTATGCTGTTTTGAAACGGTTGACAAATAATATTGTGATTAACATTCGGTACTTCCCTAATTGTCTGTTAGCATGTTCTTGAATTTGTATAAGAACCTGGGACTATTAGAAAATAAGAATTTTAAAGGTTAATTACAAATTTTAAAAACATAACATTTTACAAATGATTACATTGTAGCGGTATTTAACAATGATATAGTCTTAAAAATCTAAAAAAGATTTAACATAATATATAAAATGTTTAACGAACAATTGACTTAACAAATTAAGAACAATACGCCAATACCATTAGTCACGGTGCTAGATGGGGTATCCATTGAATTACGAAGAGGTCTAAGTACACGCCTCTTATTCGTTGTTGAAGTGTTGTTGCATGTCAAAATAGACTTTGAAGTGCCTGACAAATGATTGTTTTCATTACCTGAACAAAAGAGCAACAAAAAGCAATCCTTCAATATTACAATAAAACAAAATTTCATTTTCAAAAAATATAATGAAAAGAATAACTATTTACCACCCATTTGAGTGCTTGACGGGGTGTTGAATTCTTGTAATGGTATTGAAATGTTCTGATCTCTAAAGTTGATGTGATTCTCTTTATCCAAATGATTTTGCCAGAAACGAAACCGTGTGGGAAAGAGCGGTGAGGAGGCCGGTAGTCGTCTGGCGTCGCGCTGCCTCGGCAGAGGCAAGCTACATGGCGGTCCATGCCCGCGCACCTCAGACAGCGCCCGCTGTTGCCGTACCGGCTGCGGCGGTCCATCGGCCAAAATGTCACTTCGATGCTGGCTACGATCCGGTAACCGGCCAGGCCACGTACAGGGCAGTCTTGCTCGATCACGATGGCATGTTCAGAGCTGCGGCCAACAGGAAGCTTCCGGGGTGTTTTTCGCCTCTCATAGCGGAGGCCCTGTCCTGCAAAGAAGTCTTGTCCTGGCTTAAGGACCGAAACGAGGTTGAGGTGGATATTTTGACAGATTGTCTCGTGTTTAAGAATGCCGTTTGCTCAGTAGCTACGCCGAATTTATCTTATGTTGGAATCGTGGTAGACCAATGTAAGGTAGCTATCAACAGTTTTGATTATTGCTCGCTCAGTTTTATTACTAGAACACTTAATTTACATGCGCATACACTAGCTAGATTAGCATATGATCAGGATCACTGTATGTATTGGGACTTGATCCCTTTTGACTCTATCGTTCAATTCTTGGTTTAATATATGGGTTACGCCATTTTTCAAAAAAAAATGATTTTGCAGATTGCTAGATTGTTTTTGAACACATTCATCTTCTGCCATATTAAATACGCAATTGACACTGAGTTTACTTAAATAAATAAATAAATAAATAAATAAATAAATAAATAAATAAATAAATAAATATATATATATATATATATATATATATATATATATATATATATATATATATATATATATATTAATTGGAACTCTAAGTTAAGGAACATTAGATTAATACATCAATTTTTTTAGTACCAATTTAATATGAGATGATTTATTAAACAATGACTGTGTAAGCAGTTAAATGTTATAAAGACTAAAGAAATAATTATTTAATTATTTAACTAAATTCTGTATTTTTATTAATCAAATCCTTCTCTATACAAATATACATGTAAAATATTAAAAAAAATAATAAACAAAAAAAAAAAATGTCAACCTGTATCAACACGTGTAATGTACTCCATCATCCATCAAGCTGTGTAAGAATTCATTTCTCAGAAATGACGAAGAAATGTCGACATTTCCGATCTTCTTTCTATCTGTGTTAACATGGCCCTATCTAGACTTGTATGTAATCATCTACTATTCTTGATCCTCCTTCACTGATTCTACTTTAGCTTAAAATATAATCTTGTATCCTCTATTTCTCGACATCAAGATTACACAGACTATTAAGTTCTAAGGTTTCCAGATCTGGAAATGTAGAATGAGTGTTTGGTTTTATCTTCCTTTCAGATCTCCGACAATGTACTCTATTCATTTTCTTGTCTAATTCGCTAAACCCATACGCTATTTCGCTATTCTACTACACAATTCTGTTCTCTTCCTAGATCTAGAGCTGTTGTGATCTGAAATTTTTTGATTTGGAGGTTGTACACATTTTAGATCTTCTGTGGTATTTGTCTACGGATCTACAGTTCTCTGTTGCTAGATCCAGATTTTAACACACCAAATCTCAAATAAGGATATACAGATCTGCTTAAATAGGTATTTTTGTTTTCTAAAAATTGTTCTTATACAAATCATGTTTATAGGTTTAAATCTATAACTTCATATCCGTGTTTAAAACTAACTGTAATCTGTGTTTAATTTTTTCTTCCCTAAAATTTTGCAGGCAGAAAATTAACTC